CCATTCTGAGAAGCTTTCCTGATTGGGTTAAACATCTGGGCACCCTCTCTTTCTCATAGAGCTGCAACTTTAATTCTGTTTTTATCATATTAATTCATGCCTGTTCTTCCAACTAGATTGTAAGCTTTATGAGGGTAGGAACTGAGTCTCCATTTTTGCTATCCCTAGCACAACACATGACATAAATGTAGCGCTCAGTAAAATTGTTGAATGAGATGAATGAGAAATATAATGTAAACTGAAGAAAAGTTAAAAATTTAAGCCATTAGAATTTGCTTGCCCGGCCAGGCGTGGCTCAGTGGTTGAGCGTTGGCCTAGGATCCAGGCGATCGGGGTTCAGTTCCCGGCCAGGGCACATGCCCGGGTTGCGGGCTCGATCAATGACTCTCTCATCATTGATGTTTCTGTCTCTCTCTCCTTCTCCTTTCCTCTCTCTGAAATCAATAAAGATATATTTAAATAATAAAAAAAAAGAATTTGCTTATTAGTTGAATTTCAAGATTGAGGAGGAAGGAACAAGGCATGTGTATGAAGTTTCTAGCTTGGCGACTCAGAGGGCAGTTATATATCCATTAAGATAGAGGAAAGAGAAGGAATAAGAGGTGTGTGAAGAAGAAAAGGAAATAGATTCGGGGCATGTTGAACTTGAGTAATCACTGGCATCCAGATAGAAATGTCCAGGGAGAAGTTGAAGATGTAACAGTCGCTTGTGCAATTTATTATTACTTTCTAGGGACATTCAGGTGTATTTCTATTTTTGGTTTTAATTTCCTTGATTTTCAGACATGTTTACATATTGTTTTTCATTGGTAAGTTACTGATACCCAGTGACTTCTGAGTATATATACATCACTAATCAAGAAATATTCTAAAATAATGCAAAGAAGTCATGGCAAAAGAAAAAAACATATCCTGTAGAGATGATGACTCAACTATAAAATTAGTAATTTTAAATTAAAATATTTGATCAATTGTAAAACAAAACAACATTAGATGAAGATGGTGGTTTTTCGTTCTGGGTTTTTTTTTACTCTTAATGCTTATGAGGCTATGTAAAGGGCTACCATTTTACATATCCTACATTGCTTTAGGCATAGAACATAATTATATTATGAGTGGTACATGACAAGGCCCAATTAATGCTTAAAACTCTCTACACATACACACACAGAGAAAAATCATTAATTCAAATATTTTTCTTTACTCCTATCAGCTGTAGTTATTTCGGTTTTATTTTACCACCTTTCCAGCCTTCAGAAAAACAGCTCCTCTTTCTCACTTCCCCAGGGCCATTATAGTACTATATTAGTTTTTAATTCTCTCTCAAACACATATAGTCATTAGTCACAAACTTTTAATTTTTTTCACAATTTATCTTGGATGCTTCATTTGTATAATTTCATTTTAGACCAAATTATCCTCATATTATATTTATTACCAATCAACAGCTGAAACATGGCTACCTTTGTCTCCCTTTATGGCAACTCATTCTATGCATAGACACATAGATGATCAGCATGTATCAGGCTGGCTTCTCTCAAGATTAAGAATTCCTTATTTTTTGTTTTGTTTTATAGGTCAAGTACATACTTCTTAATCTAGCTCTCTAGAAATTCTTTTAAAACTCTCTCAACTCCTACTGGTTTCATAAGTAGCCACCCAAGCAAATTGTTTATCATTGATCAAATAAAACTTAATAATCCAGTTTTCCACACCTAAATTCTTGTATTTCCATTCCAGTAGAAATGTTTATCCCAAAGCAATACTTTTTAAAATTTCTTCATAAATCTATGTCTAGCATTAGGTCAATATTTAGATCTTTAAGGGATTTCTTCTGATTAAACTTTCCTAGCCAAATGAGTGAGAAGAACTATGAAGAATTAATAGGTGTAGAACATATAGATTGGGCAAATGTGTGATGTTTTTCATGGGGTCCACACATAACCTTCAATAGTTGCATTGTTATAGTGGTTTTATATTAGAATTAGCTTGTTGAAATAATGTATAATAAACAAGGCTCCACTTTTAAAGCATTTAGTTCCAATACAGAAAGCAATACAGCAAATATTAGCAATCCCATAAACTTTCAAATCCTTTTTCCTGATTAAATGGTATTTGAATATTGCACTTAAGAAGGCAGCTTTCAAACTCCAAATGTTTTTTGTATAGAAAATATTTAAATGCTATTTTAATTATGAAGTTGGTTAGATTCTACCTTCTCAAATGTTGACAACAAATTATTTTGTTGCGAAAGTTCTTATTTTAGGGGTTCTCTTTTGTAATCTATTTTTGTCATCAATATATTTTATTTTTAGAAATATTTTACACAAAGTTTAATATGAGTAAATTTTCTTGTGCTGTCAAAATGTACTTAACAATAATAATTAACCATGTTTCACACATTATTGTATGTATATAATAAATATATATATTTAGAAATATGTCTCCCCATCAGATATAAAGGTTTTAATGTTTGCTGTTGCCTTGCTTAGTAAAAAAGATAAACTATTCCCAAACTCTTGTATAATTCCCTTCAATTGTAGTAGAGGGAATGATGTATGAAAGACTTATGAAAACCAAGCACAATAAATTAAATATTACAATTGTTATCAATATCGTGTTTTACATTCAAAACTTTTGTGGTTGGATATCTAGGCTATTGGAAGATATCAGAAAATACTATGCTCTTTTTTTACCCACTTTTTGTGAACAATAAACTGTAGTTAAGATCAGATCTATGTTGAATTGGAGAGAGTCCTAAAAGGCTGAACTGGAGATAAGTTTATAGTAGATATCAAATAACTTAAGAAGGAAGAGTTGAAATGTGAAGAGATAAGTAACACTGATGGGGTTGATGGGACCTGAGCAGCAAGCATCTAATGAAGAAAGTCCTGTTCTTATTTTTCAACAATTCTCCTTGAAAAGCCCAGTGACTTTCTCTGGAATAAAAAAAAATTAGTGAAGAGCACTCGCTTCAGTAAGTATGGCTCAGACACTACTATTGAACTGCCATTTTGATACCCCATTTTCTTTTCTGAGGAGTATTTCTATGAAGAGTATTTTCTCTCCATAGCATGTTTCCTTCTAAAAGGCAGATTTCTGCTGCTACATGACAGAATAGATCATTGTATTTCAGCGTGTGGGTTGTAGCCAAGTTTTAGTTAGGCTGTGGAGATTGAAATTCAGATGTTTTCATATCAGTTTGGTAGTGTCAAGGTAAAATTCATTGGGTAGAACTCTCTCCTGCAGGAGTTTTGGGGAAACAGGGAAAGGGTTACTTGAAATAGGAATTAGTGCACTGTAGCATTTCTTTGCTCTTTTCTATCAGCCTCACTTGGTCTTCATGCTCTCGGTGTCCTTCATTCCGTTCCCAGTTTATTTGGTGCAGTGCTGCTCTAGGAACAATAATGCTAGCACTACTACGAATACAGTACTAAATGTTTCATGTGCATTATCTCTTTTAATCTTTTTAATATACAGGTACACATAATGACAAAAGAAAGATGGAAATTTGACTTTGACTTTTGTCAACACCCTCTTCTTTCCTCTCTGTGGAGGAAAGATTAGAGCTTTAGGTGCTCTGATTGCCCCTTGCCTCTCTCACAAAGGAATTATGGTGCCTTACGAGTAATAATTTCTTAAGAAGTATTTGTTAGAAAAATAGAAACACACTTAAAATAGATTTAATGTGGCTGCTCTATATATTGTGCCCTTCAGACTTTAGTTGCATTGGATGTTTTGTTACTTCTTTCTTCAAAGCCGCCTTAATTCACAGCTGTTCTGCTTGTTAGGATGCTTTTCATATTGTCCTGGCAGAGGGTCTGCCATAGTATAGTTACTGTACTAATGAGTCTTCTTTTCCCTATGGCACAGACATGGCTACCCGTGTTTTACCCCTGTTTTAAAAGAATCACAAAGTAGACCAAACAGTGCTGCTCCTATCAAATGTGTTAGAAAAGTTTCATGGTTTTAAAGGAATTGCAGTTTTTAACATTATATTCTGCCTTTAAATGCCAAGGGAAATTTCTTAACAGATTTTTTTATGCAATAACTCCTTTTAACAGAATTATTTTAGGCCAATGCATTTGCACAGTCTCAGAATATCATGTAATTATTACACCTGTTATCCCATGTTTTAAATATTAGAAAATTTTCAATTAATCAACTGAAGCAGAAATTCGCAACTGTGCCAAGCTCTTAAAATTTATACATTGAGAAGCATGTTTTAAAGTATTACTTCAATTCTGAATAAAACACTTACTAAATAATAACAAATCTAAGCTAATAGTTTCTTAATTTAAAATAGGCACACTTAGGTTTATGTTTTATATTTTTCAAAGATACTGTTTTGATTTCTTTTCCTACTGTCTACTTATTTTGCTTTTACCCAATGGCATTTGTCTTTAACAGAATAGTTATTTATTCCCTTGAATATTCTCTGTAATATTTTACTGTACATCTAATATGTGATATGAAATGATGCTTCCCAGAAACCTTACTGATTAGGCAGTCTCAGGGAAAATCTTCCATTTTATTTTTAGAAGATGTTCTCTCTTCTCTTTTTGGTTCAGATATTTTGACGAAAGCCTGACTTTGGCTCCAGAGTGAAACATGTGGTTTCCACCTCAGGTCCTGAGCAAGTTGTTTACACTTTCCAAGACTTAGTTCTCAGCACACAGTTTTCAGAATTTTTGTGAGGTTGGATCTGTATCTGCTCAATAAATGTTAACAAAGATGACATACTTACTGTATTTCAGCAGCATATAGAGTTTTTCTAAAACATGAATTTCAATAACAAATTATATTTCAAGGACAAGTTGTAGTAAAAACCTGTGGACAGATTTTATAAAGTAATTTTAAGAACAATATACAAGCTATGTAGAAAGTATAATAGATTCCGTGATACTAGAGGATGAGTTTGTAGCTTTGTGTTCTAAGTCATCTTAGTTCCCTTACTATTTCTATTCAAGTAACTAAAATGATACATTTTTGCTTTTCAGTCATTCAAGACTGCTTGCAACTGATTGCAGACAGTGACATGCCTACTATACGAAAAGGTAATAAAATAGTCCCAGTAGTTTTCTCTACTTAGAATTCAGTATAGTCCAAACACTTGTAAGTTTCAAGTCCAAAGACTATATTCAAACTTCAGCTCAAATCAACTCCCTACCTCAAAACTTCTTATAGTCAGATTTAAAATAATAAATTTATTCAAAATAATTAGGGAATAAATATATAAACTAATATTTAAAAACAGAATCATCTTAGAGAGACTGATACTTAGAAATTTTAAATAATTAGCATATGATAAAACAAATCAATACTAAAGCAAATTCAGTTTTTTATTATTTAGAAATCATTTTGGCTTCTAAAATGCCCCAAGGTCATCTTCACAAAGATTAATTATCCTATTATATTAGGTTGTAGAAATCATAGGATGAAGATAAAACCAAACATCTAAACATCTTATACTAATTAGTTTATTAATAAATGTATAATATGTACAAAAAAGTAAATATAATATTTTTATGATAAATCTTCTATGTGAAGTTATTGCTTTATATTTTATATATAATGATTTATATTGATCTAGTGTTACAATTACTGTGTGGGCACTGGGACTTATAGCGACTAAAATACATATGGTTCCTTACTTTCATGGAATTTACCTTCTGATGAGGAAGAAACAGAAAACGAAATGAATAAGTAAAATGTAAATGCTATTCATAAAATTAAATACTGTTGAGAAAAATAAAGCAGGCAAGGAGCAAGGGAATGTTTGGGTTGTGAGCCATAAAAGGGAGTTCAGAAGTGTCAGGAGGTTAAGCTGGAGCAAGGAATGGAGAAACAAGAGCAAGTCCAGATAACAAGTTTGGATTGGCCTTTGTAATGATTCCCGGGAGTGCTATCTTGCATCTGTATTTTTCTATGTGACTTTAATTATTTTAAACGTAACACAAATATTAAACTATTTGAAATTCTATTATTATTTATTGCTCTACATTTTCCAAAGTCATTGTTTGCAACTTTTAATAGGCAGCAAACTGTGTTCCTAAGAATTAAAATCAAGCCAGAAAAAGACCCTAATTTTTAAAAATATAACTTGGAAAAGATCTGTTTCTCACATCTGGCCGAAAACAAAAATCCTGTAAACTACACACAAAAATACAGCTGCCACTTCATTGTGAGTGTGAATTGCAGTGTTATGATCTTGGTGTGGTGGCTGCTCTCCACCGATCCAGGGTGCTCCTCTGGGTGCTTTGCCCTTTGGGCCCGTGGGTTGGCCTTATGATGCCAGCAAGCCTTGGACAGTAAATGTAAGTGTGCATATAAATTTCAGCAGCACTGCTTTATGTTTCGATATGCTATGTTTCCATTTTTATTCGTCACAAGATATTTCTTCATTTACCTTTTTGTTTTTGGACCCACTGGTTGTTAGGAGTGTGTTGTTTAACATCCATGCATTTGTGAATTTTCCAGTTTTCCTCCTGTTATTGCTTCTAGTTTCATGCTGTTGTGGTTGGAAAAGATACTTGATATGATTTCAGTCTTTTTAAATTTGTTGAGATTTAGTTTGTATCCTAACATATTATCTGTCCTGGAGAATTTTCCTTGTGTACTTAAGAAGACTATAATTTGCTGCTATAGAAAGGAATATTCTGTATATCTGTTAAGTTCACTTAGTCTGTAGTGTTAAGTGTTCTATTTCCATATTAATTTTCTTTTGGATAATCTATCCATTTTTGAAATGGGGTATTGAATTCTACTGTTACTGTATTGTTGTCTACTTCTTTAAGAGCTCTTAATATTTTCTTTACATATTTAGAGTCTCCAATGTTGAGTGCATATATCTTTATATTTGTTATAGCCTCTTGATGATCATCATATAATGACTTACTTTGTTTCTTGTGACAGTTTTTGACTACTATCCTATTTGTCTGATGTAAGAACAGCCACTTCTCTCTTTCGTTTACTGTTTGCCTAGAATATTGTTCTCTAACTGTTCAGTTTAAGTCCCTCTTGTCCTCAAACTTAAAGTGAGTCTCTTGTAGGCAGCACATGGTTGGATTTTTTAACCCATTCAGCCACTCTATACTTTTATTTCTCCCTCCCCCATACTTTATGTTATTGATGTGACAGTTTATATCTTTTTTTATTGTGTAACTATTCAATTACTGTAGTTACAGTTCTTTTTAATACTTTTGTCTTTTAACTTCTACACTAGAGTGAAAGTGATTTACAACTCATTTCAGCCATTTATTTCAGGTTGTTTACTAGAGATTTGTTTCTTCAGTTATGTTGCGCTTTCTCGATTCTTCATAGTCCTTGTAGATTTGCTTTGTTATCTGTGCACTTGAAGAAGCAGCTATCTCCTCCAGTCTTCCTGGACTAATTTTGACTGGGAGACATGTTTGTTGGTCAGCAGTGCTTGGTATTAGCCGCTCTAAGGCTGGGGACAAGACCCCTTCGCTTCCTTTCTGCCCTACTGGAAGAAAAGCATCAGTTCTCTGGTTTTCCTGAATCATGCAAAAAAAAAAAAAAAAAA